TCAGCAGAGAATCATATTCTTCTGTCAGTCTCCAGCACCTTCGCTACTTTCTACAGAATTGTGTGGAGCTAACTTTTTTATTGGGTCCTTAAGAGTGCTAACACTCGGCTATACCACAGCTGGGCATGGTGGTTCAGAGCAGTGTGTTTGCTAGGCTCTGCTCCCCCTTCATGCACTGCTACGGTATTAGACTTCCCTGTTCACCTATGGTACTGACTGACTTCTTCAAACAGACTTCTAAACTTTGTTTCCTTTCGGTATATTATGACAATAACTTCAGCGGACTTGTTTTTATCAGAATCTATCTATTAGACAACATCTATAAACTCTTGTACTACCTTAAACTTAAATCTATTCCCAGAGAGACACAGAAGATAAGATAAAGGCTGAAGAAAAAAGAAGGCAGGAACATCTGAATTACACAGAAGAAAAGAACTTTTTAATGCAGATTCTGGACATACAGTGGCTAACCATGAGGAATCACAAATGCCAAAGGACTCACAGCTAATGGGTGCATAACTTGACCAGGACTGCCTCAACATTTGTAGTATGCAAACTCATCAGGCTCACAAACATAAATGTCTCATGGACTCTCAGACACTGCCTGGGTTCCAGGCTTCCTTTGAACTTGGATATGTTATCACATCCATTTTGATAAAGAAATGAGAACTGAGGAACAGAGGAAACAAAAAGCTTGATATAAACTTAATCAAACCTCCCTACACAATTACAAATGCAAATATTCTGTCTGAATGAATAAATATGATTTTTTTCTCAGGTTTTAGTTGGATCAAGTTAAGTTCTGTGCTCCATTTGCTGTCAGGAAACAAAATTTAAAAAAAAAAAAACACCATCACCTAGATGATCTGCATTGCACCAAAATTAGCATTATGCTAAAATGTCTGATTGTATTTGGCTGCCCTCCTTGTTATAATAATCTCCATGTCTAAAAATGAACCTTTCTTCACAGGCAAACAAACAGAAGTAGTACTGTAAGAACTGGTGTAAAAACATCATCGAATCAAAAAGCTGATTTCTAGCTATAAAAAAAAAAATCTGATTGGAACCTCTCATGGAAGATAAAATGCACCATTTAATGAAAAACCTACCACAAATTTTCATGCCAGCATATTGTCTATGCTTATTTTAGAACATTTTTTAAACAAAAGTTTGATATAGTAAAGTGATTGTTATTCTGGATAGCAGCACTTTGGTTAAAGGTTCATTAGTAAGCCAGGCCTGCTTGAATTAAATCACTATTCAAAAAAGACCCTGAAAATTCTTGCTTAGGGAAAGGCACTTTTCACGCAAATAATGTGAGTGATTTCAGAAGGACGACTGAGATGAGTGGGAACTGTACTTTCTGCAAGTGTTTGCTGGGTATGGCTGCAATGAAAGAGAATTCCAGGCAAATTTTTCCAAACAATTCTGTCACCATGCAGTACTTCAAACCTGACCTGCGGCTTTCTTGCTAATTTAGTCCTAGACCTTTCTTCTCAGGAGACTGCCTGTTTTAAAGAACTCCTGGCAAATTATTTAGTGGGTTTCTTTACAAGTTTGTGGTAGAAACATTGGCTTATCCTTAATTGATAGGATATATTTAACTGGTTGTAGTAAAAACAAAAAGCAAAACCCAACCAAACAAAAGAAACGTTCCCTGCATAAAAACAAGACAATTCCACTTCCCAGCCTAACCTGCCCCCACAAGCCAGATGCATTGTTCTCATCTTTCTGGCCGACCGGGCAGGTATCACCGCAGGTGTTCCCACATCTACAGGTGCCACTGACGCAGAAGAAACACCTCCTACCAGTCACACCGAGTTCTGATCCAGTGCCACAAGTGCTGCACATATGGAGTCCACTGCGGAGGCAGCTGTCCTTTGGGGCCTTACTCTTCCCATGTTCTCCTGCAATTAACATCTTTCCT